CCAATTATGAACTAAACCTCTGATACCTATATTATGCATTATTTTCAAGATTTCATGGTCCACAATATCAAATGCGATCTTCAGGTCTAATGAAAGAACTCCACATTTTTTGTTTGAATCTAAATCTAGCTGTAATTAGGTTTTGGCATTTAATACTGCCGACTCCGTGTCACAAGTTTTTCGAAATCCGTATTGCCCATCATACAATAATTTTGTTTTTTCAAGATATTCAAACGAATCTATAATGTACTGATTTTTCAATAATCTTAGATAAAAGTGGTAAAACTGAAATTGGACTATAATTCGTCATTTGTTCTTTTTTACCTGCTTTAAATAATGGTTTTACTTTGGCAATTTTAGCATTATAAGGTACCAAACCTGTTGAAAAAGAAAGATTTATCAATTTACTTATCAGTGGTGCTAATTCTGATTTAACTTTTTTAACCATTTTTATGGTAATTCCATCGAATCGTGGAGCTTTTCGTGAATCGAACATATTGATTATTTCTTCTATTTCTTCTGGTTCGACAGGCTTGAGATACATAGACCATAATTTTGATTGAACTGCTAGACTATCTTGAGTGGGAATAGGAATACTAGATGCTAATGTCTTCAATACATTTTCAAATCCTGGAACAAATACGTCCTAATCTAGTCAGATTTCTGTGGTTCAAACTCAAAAAAACCTTTATTCGAATTTTATTCAAATGAGTGGCAAACCACGTGCAAATTCTCTCGTGATATTTCGTAAATCAAAGGCGAGAATATAAATGTAGGTATGGTATACGCTGTAACTGAATATGTCCGTTCCGACATTATCAATCCGAATCTACTTGTTTACAGAAATTCAATTAAAAGCGACATTGTCGTTTCACTAAACTTGTTCTGTAGGTAACTTTCAGCAGAGAATGGAATAATACATTGTGAATTGTGACTGTGTTGCGCCGAACCAATTTTACACGCTTCGTATACTAGGTCGTATACTGGGTCATGTCATGTTTTTGTTTTCGGTATGCCTTGGCAAGAGTATCAAATTTTAAATATTGTTTGTTGTTATGACCTTAACATTTTACTACAAGTTTTATGAACAGTCAAAATCACAGCTGTGTAATTTGTCTTCTGAAGATTAGGGTTAACTAAAATTCATATGGATTTAATACTAGTAGCGCCATCTAAGTGTTAGCCTGCGAACTTCTCAACACATCTAGTGAATATACTGTCAAGAAAGTACTGGAATTGAACCTCAAACGCGTTTTGCGATTTTTTTATCACAATGGATAAAAAAATATCGAACAAATAATTTTTAGTAAATTTTGCATTGCAAATGGAATTTCATATGCCGAAGCTCTGAAAATATCACATACGACTCTAGGTGAAATCGACTTCATCAAAAATGCGTGCTAATAAGTGGTGCAGTGCATTTAAAAGCGGTCGAAAAGTGGTGGACGATTTGCCTCGCTTTGGTCGACCATCAACAACCTCCACTAAACACCACACCGCTAAAGTAAAGGAAGTGGTGACTGAAAGTCGTCGTTTAAGCCTAAGGCTGGGGGCACGAAAATTGCGACGGCCGAGCGATGGCGACCGCGGCGCGGGGCGATGAGGAGAAGTATCTTGCGTGGGCAGGAAACTTCGGTCGGTTGGTCGTGCTGGAGTAGAGTTGTTAGCAATATGTCACGTCATTGAAATCCAAGTTCACGTCGAAGAAAACTATTGGAGCCAAGTCTACTAATGAAAACGTAGTTATTATTACCTAGAGATGGTGTTCAATCGATAAATGAAGAAAGAAATAATTTTGGCGAATTTTCTACCCTTTATTACAAGCTAAGGTGACTATTTTTACTGTCCCGTAGAGCAAGCAGATTTTGACAAAATACACGAGATAAATTATCAATTTCCATTTGGTATTGGTATTATAATATTTTTTTAAACATTACTGTAATCGCGAACGACCTAATCAGACTAGTTTGCTTCTGTCGCTTCCGCGCGGCCGCTGTAGAAGTTGTATGCATCGCCACCGTTTCGTCGACGCGTCGCTTCACCATCGCTCGGCCGTCGCCATTTTCATGCCCTCAGCCTAACGGCTTGGTCACGAGGATCGGCGGTGCGAACGACGAAGCGAAGGCCACGGGCAGTCACGTTCGTCGTCGCGACCAATAGTCCGACAGCGAAATGTCTTAATCGAAATTATCTCGATATTGCTTAGAAAGTAATAGTTTTTTGGTTCAAGACCTAATATTTGGAAGAGATTGTGGAGTGCATGATTTGAATAAGAGTCGGGGTATAGATGGAGAATTCCACAAGAAGTACGACAAATACGGATTATATCCAGAAACATTTTCGCCGGCCGCGCCGTAAGTCGCCCACGCGATTCGCTCGGTACATTTCGCCGGTCGCCCTTCCGCGTGGTTTCATAAGTACATTCCTATGCGTTTGTTTCAGTCGCTAGACGCTTCGCCGTTTGCATCGCGCGAATATTCGCATCGGCGAGTGTCCCGTGGCCAGGCTTTGAGAGAGATACGCTGAAATTTCTATGTCTCTCGAAGCAGTTCGTACCATTTCAAACAATAAATTCAAAATTTTGGTTTCACCTCTACTTCATCTCAGAAATATCTGTGCTCACGTGCTAAATTCACCCTGTTATTTGTCAACTCTTTTGACTGAGCCATAAATTTTTTATTATTATGTTGCGTTCAACATTATGCTCCGCTTTACATAATCCGATGGAAATCAAATTTCTTTCGCATTCCAACCAACCATAACTCCGCATTCCAATCAACCATGAGAGCTCAGCAACCGAGCGTTCGATGTTTGATAACCAGCTAAAAAATTGAAGCGTGTTATCGATTCCCCGAGCTTATTATGCCTATTTGAATTATGAAATATGATAATATGAAATTATCCTTCGAATGTCAAGGTTGTTTCGCGTTGTTATCTGGCATTATCAAGGAATGAAATGACATTGAGTCACGCAGAATATTTTTTTTTCATTCCACGGAAATATGAATCTATACTTATAAATGCGAAAGTCACTAACTTTAACTCACTCATTTATCTCTGTTTCTCCGTACTGGTGTGTCCTAGGAAGCTAAAATTTGGTGTGAGCATTCCTAAATATTTCAACTGCCTCTTCTCACCATGGGGGAAAGGGGCGAGATTACATATGAAAATTACTTTTTCATCACTGTTTTTCCCTACCGCTATATTTTCGCTGGCTGAAATTTTGTACGTAGATGTGCAATAAGAAAGGATTTTCAAATATTCCAACTAGATCACTAGCCGCGGGAAAAAAAACGAGTTCATAAAATTGAGTGACCTTTTCATCACATTCATATAGGGAGTTCCAATTAAGTGGGCATCATTGCCAACTCCGCTATTATTGATGCTACGAATTCGGTTAAATGGACAAACTAGTAGCATTTTTAATGGGCTACTTGGTGCCGGAAACAAAGAAAATGTCGTGCTTGTGAAATAATATTTCCACATGAGTCATTCATTTTCAATTTTATGAAGATAGGTAATATTGAGAATGTTATGACGAATCGAAATGCATGATAGAATATGTGGTCTTCCATTCAAAAAAATATAATTTTATGAAATATTTTGTAACTTTTTTTATTTTCATCGTGGAGAAGGCCATTAATAATGCTACTAGTTTGCCCATTTAACCGAATTCGTAGTATCAATAACAACGGAGTTGGTTATGGTGCCGACTTGATTGGAACACCCTGTATTTAGTATCAGCATTACACCCGTGCGGAGCCGGGACGGCTCGTTAGTATTGCATATACGGAAATCACATATACCCACGATCAAGAGTATCTCATTGTAGTCCAAAATCATACAGCTTATATACAAAACCGCACCACCACAATAGCATCTTTGGACTTGTTTAAAATTGAACTAAAAGACAAAGTGTTTTAATTTACCTCTTTGTGAATTTTCTCTTTCAACAATCTGTAATGGAAAACTCTATACAGATGTGAGAATTGCTTTTCCTTCATCTAGATGAGTTCGGTACTGCGTAGAATAAATATATTTTTTACAAAAGAAAATGTGCCCGTCATCAGTGACTTGTATTTCCAAATTTTGCCTATTAATAAAAAAGCTAAGAAGTCTATAGGCACTTACCTTAACATTTTGAGGCCAAAATCCATCTTCAGAAATAGAAAATGGGCATTGCCAAGTTTAGGTTCCGGCGCAGGTCACGGGGAACTTTTGTTTATGAACCTACAATAAAAATAAGAGTGTTTAATAGCATAATTGAAATATAACCAGACTAAACTTACATAACCTAATCTAACCTCTAATTACTAGTAATAATATTAAATTAATATATTATATTGAGGTAAGGTTAGGTTTAGCGAGTCAATATAATAGTACTAGTAATGAAGGTTAGGTTAGGGGTTAGATTAGTCTGGTTATATTTTAATTGTGCTATTAAACATTCTTATTCATATTATAGGTTCAAAAAGTGCGCTGAAAACAAAATGGAGATAGTTAATCCTAACCGAAATATCACAGAATTTTGAATAGACGCCCCTTTGCAGCACTTTTTTTTCGCTTACTGGGTTTGGACTTGTTTGTTCAATTTGACTGTACTGTTTGTACTTGAGTACCACTGCCATTATGAATGTNAGAATCCTGCACTGACACCTGTCGGATATAATCCAACGCCCTTCGTGGTATTAGCCAGGGGAGTAGTTGTTTTCTGATAGGTGTCAGTCCATTAACCTACTGTGTAGGGTTTTGAGGCTGGCCTGAACGAATTGTTCTTTTAGATGATTTGATTTATAGCCAGTCTTCAAGTATGCCCACTGACTATACGTGAAACATTTCAAAATTGAAGATGAAACTTATATCGATTTGACAAAGACATCTACTGCTACAGAAACTATGCAGATACATTTTGAAATTATAAATATTCAAAAGTTTCAAGAGTATTTTTGTATGATTATTATCTATTGTTTCACTATCATTAATAGTTCCTTTCTTTTCAGCCTCCTCCCGCTTCGAGGCAACAGAGCCACACTTCGGAGAAGGATATGAAAGATGAGCGATTATCGACGAACAACAACGTCAAAGTCTCTCCTATCCCTACCCCCTCCCTGCAAACTCCTCCCTCTTCTCCCCAACAACCCACTCAGTCGAAGAGGTTGTTGCAGGAGGTACTCTCCCGACCCGGTCCCTACCCCATGATAGTTATCCCCCCCAAAGGGTACTGGGTCGACGGGTTGGATCACGAAGAACACTTCGACCATAGGGGGATGCCAATCGTTCCCCATCCGACTTGGAGGGCTAAGTTCGAAACAGACGACACGGCGAAATGTTACAGGAGGTTTTTCGTTAAGAAGGTGAGTGCCTTTGTATGAGAGAAATTTTCGAAGTGGATATTTTTTGGCTTTAGTAACATCAGAAAAAGATTTCTTATTAGTCAGTGGGCTATGTTTGAAGATTGGCAGTAAACAAATCTAAAGAAATGAACTTTAAACGTTCAAGCCAGTCTCGGATATGCCTAGACAGTAGGTTGAATGGACTGAAGCCTATCAGAAAACAAGTACTCCCCTGGCTAATACCACGAAGGGCGTTGGATTATATCCGACCGGCGTCAGTGCAGGAATCTTCCAAAATTGAAGGTCGACTCTTTCAGTTGTATTGCCAATTGCATATGCAGAAAATTTTCTGCTAAGATTCCTGCACTGACACCTGTCGGATATAATCCAACGCCCTTCGTGGTATTAGTCAAGGGAGTAGTTATTTTCTGATAGTTATCAGTCCGTTCAACCTTATTTGTAGGTATATCCGAGACTGGCTTGAAAGTTTGAAGTTCATTTCTTTAGATTTAGAAAAAAGATTTTCCACTAGTTAGTTATTCTTGTCAGGAATATTTGACAATTTGGAATTGAGGAAAGGAATTTTTCTATGACTGTTGAAAAAAGTTCGGAAAATGCGCCAAATATGTTACAGTTGAATTATTTTTATTCGCCAGTGTGTAAGCTTTGAAAATTCACCTACTTCAAAATATATTACCAACCTCATGATTAAACTATGAACTGACGGTTCATTTCGAAATGAACTATGTGGATATCACACTAAATGAAACGAGCAGTGATTGAACTCTGAAAACTAATGATCGTGGGTTCAATTCATACCGACTGCAGTTTTGTTCAAATATAATCGCTCAATTTTAAAGATGTCCGAAATCAAATCAAGTAACTGCTTTTTTATTACGTGTTATTATGAAAATGGATGACTACTGGTATTATGGACATAAATGAATCTTATTTTGAAATTTCTTTGATATAGGTCATGGAAAAGGTATATTATGGTACTTGAGAGAAATGGTCGATGATTAACGACATAAACCGAAGGCGAACGTCGAGAAACTTCTTTCAATGCTCATGAACTACTACGATGACTCACAAAATGTCATATGAAAGTCGTAGAACATGCAGTTATCTGCAAAAAAATGTCATCGTCTTTTTTTGACCTTCCACTATCTGAAAAATTGTAACGCAGAACTTCATACAGTTATAGAAAAGGCAAACTTTTTAGTTCACCCTAATAAGTTACTGCGAAAGTGTATTTATCAGTTTGTTTGAAGGTGTATTTATCAGATACTGATCATATTTAAATAATTTTGCATATCAAAGAAATACAGGGTGTAACTGAATAAGTGTAAAACATTCAAGGAGGTGATTCCTCATCGAAAAAAAGATAGGATCTTTCATTTAAAGAAATTTCATTGGAGCATCCCTTGTTGAGATGCAGCCCCTTGAAGGGGGTACATCTCATACTAGTATTTTTCGTTCGTTATTGTTTTAAGCTTATTTAAAAAAAATATTTTTAAATTTTTAGTTCGATATTCTTTGAAAGCGTGTTTTTAGTATTTTCAAACTATATTTATTTTATCAATCAGCCGTATATTGTTTAGAAAAATGACCATTGATATTTTCTGATTCCGAGGAGAGAGCCTGAAAATCAGCTACCAAGCCCAATGAAAGCAGCAGGCGCGCAGAGGAGGGTTACAAATAAGGCAGCAGGCGCGCGTGTTAATAAAAAAAATTTTTCAAATAAAGAAATATATGTAAAGTGAGTTCGAATTATATCAAGGAGGTTACGTACAGCGCCATCTGCCCGCGAATAGATCAAGCAATAATGTCAATAATTCTGTCAAATACAGATCCCGAACTTGAGAGTTACAAACAAACAAACAAACATACATACATACATACATACAGGTGAAGCTAATAAAAGCGTGTTAATAAAAAAGGCTAAGAAATCATACAGATGATCATCGTAACACACCGGAGGTTAAAATCTGGCTCCGTCTAGCAGTGTTTTTTGTTCATTTTGAGTCAAAACGTTCTCGATGTCAAAGTTTGGTTTTTCGACATCTGTATGAAGTTCACCATTATAACTGTTGTATTTTTCAGATTGCAGGAGTTGAAAAACCCAAAAAAGGCAATAAAAATCCAATCATTTCCTCCACATTGGTACTTCTTGGTATTACTCCTGAGATTTCAAGTAGTTGTTGTTCTGAATAATTTGCACAGATTTTTCCATTACCTGTAAGGTAGCGCATTTTTTCAATATGGTATACAGTTTCTTTCAATTCTATTTCCTCCTCTTGCTGGAATGGAAAAATAATTCAAAGAAGAAAGATAATTGATATCATTGGAACCCTCATATGTTATATTTGATTTCAATGTTAGAAATTGATTGCTACATTGCTTCCTTCCTTTCTTTGGAAGATTCCCACATTTTTTCTTCAAGATGGAGAAGTAGAAAACCAAAACTTTTCTTTCCCAAAAATGTATCTCTCCTAAAAATATACCCTCTCAATTTAGAACAAGGCTGATAAGAACATCTGAATATAGTTGATTGCCTAGACACACTTCAACTTAATGGTATGCACGATAAAAGTGCTTGATAACCAGAAGAAAATGTTAGGAGAAGACAAGATAGTACCTACTCTATTCTAGAATTGGTACATTCCAAGGCATTTATAAACTCTACGTTGTCTACTTAGACTGTCGTCTGAATCACCAAATGTCTGGTAGATAATTAAACACCACAGCACATTATTTTCGCCTGTCTCCCCACCGACCGAATCAGGTTTTCAGTGTTTGGTAGACTTTCACTCTTGTCATCTGAACTGATGGTCTTATTTGGTATGGGCTACAAAAAACCTTCTCGGGTTGTATTTGGGGACCTACCTACTACTTGTTTTGGAAAGAGAGATGTTTCCGATGTTTTCAAATATCAGAAAACATGCAAACTCCTCAAACCACCGCTGATGAGGAGTTGAAAACGAGTGTTTTTACCTGAAACTCTGGATCCAGATTGAGTGCGGAAGTAATTGGACCTTTATATCAAATTTCATGATGGACATCTGTTTCACTTCTCATCAGATCAATATTTGTTGTTAGAATTGGAAAAAGTAAAGAAATTGCTCTTACTTGATTGTTTATAAATTGATATTTTCTTTTTGCTGGAATATTTTAATGGTCACATTCATAGCATTCATCGAAAAAAAGTCCTGTTCTTTTATAAGTTCACGATCATTGAAGACTGTTTGCCAATTTGTCGTCGGTGCGCTCTAAAAGTTTCGAAAACCCACTTCTCTTTTTACGTCGAGGCAATGAAGCAAATTCAATCTATGAGAAATACAATGTTCGCTTTCGCAAAACTTTGAAAAATGCAAATTTCCTTCTCCCAGACCTGCGACAGCTATGGAAATTCGTAAAATATTTCTCGAACGGTTAAACCAGAAATCGGAAAATCTCTCCGGAGACTATTTGCTCGGCCACCGAAGATAACGAGGAGAACTTTGAACGTCTCTCGTTTGTTTTCCTAATTCGGACTCGTGGAAATGGAGATAATTACTGGGTTTCGAAGTGGATTTGTAGAGATTCTCGCTGGACGATAATGAAAGAACAGATGCCCCGAAGTCTGTCTTGGAGCATATCTATCGATAAAAAGGGGGAATGGCGATTGGATTTCTGCACTTGTGAATCCAAGTTGTAGTAAGCGTATTAGTTCACTTTTGGTGATTCTTTGAAGCCAATGAAAGTCATAGTTCAGGATCATCGAGTGGTGCTGATAAAATTGCATCCGGCTGGATTTTCTACATGACCTACAACAATATCGAAAATATTTATTCTTTGTAAAAGCTATTTTCCGGGATTTTTGGCCGTAGTCCGCAGGTTTTTTTGCTTGATGTTTCGTCTACTACTGCGGTAGATAACATCAAAGTCGATATTGTAACGTTCGCAGTGCCCGAGTTGGGCACTGCAAAATAGCTCGCTGAGGAATTTGAAAGCTTGCCTACTGCAGAACCAGGTTTAAGTATCAAAAACTCCTTAGATTTCATACAACATAAAAAAAACATCATTCTGCAAGAAGGTGAGATTTTAGTTTTCTTTGATGTTAGTTCTTTATTTCCTAGCGTCCTAATTCCACAGACTTTACTATACCTCGGGATAATTGCACACACACACCGATTGTGGACGGCCGATTTTATACCGGTCGTCCAAATTCCAATAGTGAACCACATGTAAGAACGGGACCTTGCACACATACCTACCGGTGATCGACGCCGATCACCGGTCGGCGTGTGTGCCAGGTCCCGTACCCACATGTGGTTCACTATTGGAATTTGGACGACCGGTATAAAATCGGCCGTCCAAAATCGGTGTGTGTGCATTTAGCGTCAGGGAATTACTGAAGAAAAATAATTCCAATAATAACGTAATTGATGAATTCGTTTCTCTCTAATTCGTGTATGAAACAAAACCGCTTCCAGGTAGAAGGTTGCTTTTATGAACAACAGCAGGGAATGGCTATGGGTAACTCCTTGTCCCCCTACCTGGCTATCCTGTTCATTAGCAGATTCGAGAAGAAAATTAAAGAAACGTCAAAGTATTTCCCAAGAATATGGCTGAGGTATGTGGGTGATGTATTTGCGATATTCGACAACAAAAAATCGAATATTGAGAACTTGGTTTCCTTTTCAAATAACAGACTTCCATCAACAAAATTCACGTAAAAGTTAGAAAATGAAGGACAACTTCCATTTCTTGACGTATTGGTAATGAGAAGACAATAGCTAGAATAAGATGTATTTAGGAAAGAAACAAGCACTTGCAGGATATTCCTGACAGTTCACATCATTGTGGACATCACAAACGTGTTGGGTTGAATTTTTTAGTGCATCGTCTTTTGACGTTTCCTCTCACACATGAGAGGTATACAACAGAAAAATTGACAATTCAGAGGATAGCAGTCAGTAACGGTTTCTCGAGGGCCCGCCAGTGTCATCAATCCGGCCCGCGACAGCCAATGATTCACT